CCCCCCCCCCCTTACGGGATCAGTTTCGTAATTACAAAGTGGTGTATAGGAGGTATGCTGGATTGTTCTTTTGCGTATGTGTGGATGCAAACGACAACGAGCTGGCATACCTAGAAGCGATTCATCTCTTCGTCGAGGTTCTAGGTGAGTGTTCGCGCGAAAAGCACCGAGGGGCGATGAGGGCTAGCCAAGGCGAATTGGGATGCAGTGGGACAAGCGCAACTCGTCGCGAGACCCAACAATCATCTTCACAAGGGAGACGCACAAGGCACGACTGCAGCTTGACGTCATCTCTTTGCCCCCTCTCCAACAGATACTTTCTTCGGCAACGTGTGCGAGCTGGACCTCGTCTTCAACTTCTACAAGGTGAGCCAAAGCGCGCTCATTTGCAGACCGGGGCCTCTCGAGCGCAATGCTCTCCAACTCCCTCACGACCTGTTCCTCTTTGGCCGTAAATCAACTCTTCGCACGCAGGTCTATGCGATCCTGGACGAGATCTTCCTGGCGGGCGAGATCGAAGAGACCAGCAAGCACGTCGTGCTAGCGAGGTTAGATCAGCGTAAGTCACTTGTTGCCCGGGATCCTGATTCTGCGGATTGCGCAGCAGGTGCTCAGGCTGATTAGCCGCGTTGCCCTTCTAGTGGAGCGTCTGGAGTAGAACGTCGACTAGCACGCAAACGCTCCGCATGTCAATTGTACAATATCACTCAGATCCGTCTCATCGCGTAATCTGCTTTTCCATTTGCTTAGCTCTGTGTGTGCACCGAGGCTAAAGGCGGAGGCTCCCTTCGAACGCTCGCCGCTTGTTTCACGTCGAGGAACTCCACAAGCTGAATGCTAGCTGCATCTTTCAGGGAAGCCCAGCCAGCTTCGCGCCGCCAAACGGTCGTCACTTCCGGAAGATGATCGAGATCTACTTGCGGTCCAAAGGCGGCTAGTCGCACGAGATTAGTCTCTCTTTGCTCGCCTCCCATATCCAGAGATCGCTCAAGATCTGCCAAAGCCCAGGCAGGTGCAACTACGAGCTGCCGAGAATGCGCAATATCCCTTCCATTGTCATCTTCCGCTTCGAGCTCCTCTCGCGACTGATTTGGAGAAAACGAAAGGGTCCGACTAGTAGACCTCAACCAGGCCGCGAGTGTTCGTGCTGGCATGCTCCCGTGGTCAGTGATGGTGGGGTAGCGAGTCTGACCGCCACCTTGAGATGAGCCGCGAGGCTGCAAAGGGAGTATGAGATGTCGCGGAGGCATGAAAGTGCGCCAGAAGATGATGTGGAGGGATGCCGTGGGCGAAGCAGGCCCTGTGTGGTCAGACGATGGCAGCCATCCCGCGCTTCCCCGTCCTGAAAGCGCGTTGTTAATGTTGAATAGGGTGGGCAAGACGGCGCCGTGATGCAGAAATGAGAACAGAATAGTCAGGACCGCGTGTTGTAGCAGATACAAGCTAAGCTGAAAAGGTCAAAGGCAAACCACACAGAGATGAGAGTCTGGCAGTGCATGACCAGGTGCTGGCCCTGTACTCACGAGCAATCTTCTCGTTCGTCGACCCATTTGCATCCGCCGATGCGCTTCTCCAAAGCATGCCTCGGCAAAGAGAAGGGTCGACGGCAGCACTGTTGGTAAGAGAAAGCGAGGTTCTTGATGTGGCTGAACGGAAAGCAGGGCGATTGGGACTAGGACCGTGGCCAAGTAGACTATGCAGACGGGCACGAGATTGAGCCCGCGAGCGCGTGGGAAACATACGGCTGGCTGCCTTGGATCTCACTGGCTACTCACTCTTTCGCATCGTCAGCTGCACCGCTGCATCGACGTCAATTTCCTTTGCTTTGCCCTTTACTTTCTTACGTCTCTCCACCTTCCGGCCGACCGCCCAGAGCGAGATTTTCAAAGCACCATAGAGCCAGACAGATGCGCCAAGCACGATCGGCGCGTTGACCACCACATGCAACCACCGAGGGTGCGTCCCGTGCTCCGCCAGATTTGTAGGATCGAGATTGTATCGAAGCAAGTTGAGTGGGGCCAAAAGAAGGGGACTCGAAAACCATTTTCCTCTGTACAGCATGCTGTCGGTGCATATATGGAGTAAAACGACGAAGACGAAAGATGGCAGCGTCTCGAGGAGCAGATAAGCATACAATGCTGCTGTAGAGAGGATGGACTGCCTCCTGTGTCGCGAGACAAAGCAAGACATTTGAGCATGCGACAAACTTCTTGCCTCTTCATGCCTGCAGCGGGCACGCTCTCGTCACTCACCGGCACAATCGTGTCCCTGCTACGGCGACGTATGCAGCGCAAGGCAGAGCGAAGGCCACGAAAGTGAAGCGCACAAAGAGGCCCGCTGCTCCTAGACCAAAAAGTGCGGAGCAGTACCTAATCCATCTTTGCCTAGCTACCCACACAGGCACATACGCGCGCGACTGGGGGCTTAAGCATGCGTCAGCAGGGTGTGATTGATGTGAAATAGTGCAGGACGTCATGGCCGCACACACCTCAGCATGTGACAAATCTACCACTGCTCGAGTCAACAGGAGACAGAGAGCAAGCAGTGCGGCCTCGGCGCCGTTGGAAAAAGGGCGGGTGCACAGCGATAGGACAGCGTGGCTGGATCCAAGAATGCAAAGAGTCTTGTACGTCTGAAGCCGCTGTCGGGTCGAAGGAGCGACCAAACGTGCTGCGACAAAGTCTAATGCAGCGGAAATCTTATGTAAGGCAGGACTTGCATGGCATACGAACGCTGACTTGCCATCTCTTGGCTTCTGGTTTCGAGCGGCTCACCTAGTGTCAAAGATGTGAAGAAGGAGGTGGCCCTCTGCGCCAGGAACAAGGAGTAGGAGCTAGCGGCTTCGGGGCAGGCATCTACATCAGGAGATCGTTCTCATGTACGCACGCTCGTGTCTAGTTCGACTTACAGACTCCAAACCTATAATTCAGGTGGACCCACGCCACGAGAGGAAATTGAAAGAGGTGCAGGCTGGCCAGAGAGCGCGACGGGGAAGCTGCATCGAATTCCCATGTCCTCAACAGGGACGTGGATGAGTGTATGCCTAGATTGGCGCATTCTGGTGTGAGCCATGTCTTACATCTGAGCAGCGTACAGCCAGCACTTACCTGCTATTGCCTCTCCAGACTGAAACCACTCATCGGGATGAATGTAGCCAGTGCCCGTTATGGCGCAAAGCAATCGCAACACCAACAGCACCCCATAGCAGGCCTTCCACGCTCTTTCGGCCATCGCTGGCTAGCAGCTGCTTGCACTGGCCATCCGTGAAGACCAGGGCATCTGGCATGCAAAGCCCCGGGAAGTTCCGCTCTTCGCCTGTCACCCTTCTTGAAGGCCGATGTGCGCGCCTCGCGTCCTGAAGGGCGCTGCTGGTCTCGCCGGCCTTGTGAGCTATCAATGACTGCAGCGAGATGCTTTCCCCGGCTCTTGGAGCTCCTCGAGGCGCACCAGACGCAGGCAAGTAAGATGAAGTGGCTGGGGCGGGAGCCGAGAGTTACGAGCAGCGTGCATGCTGGGCCCTGAAAGGTGATTGAATCGTGACGAGTTGAATCTTCGCAAATAGTCAGCCGTGAGTTGCGAGTCGCGCGTGCCTGCATGTGTCTAATCCACGCGCACGAGCCAGGCTGCACGCTCGCCCTGCAGCTCACTCGTACGAGAAGGCTTGGAGCCAATTCCTAGTTGAGTGCTTCGCTGGACGCGCGGGGTTTACATTCGTGATTTCTGGGTGGGAACAGCGCATATATGCACATGCGGCCAAGCCAAGTCTCATAGTCTCACTCACAATTCTTCGCGATGCTTGTCCTCTCGCATTCGTCCCACCTTTCGTTCCCAGCATCCCAGCAGCCCCTTCATATTGCGAAGCACGCAATCATCGATAGACCGAAGGCAAGCGCGTGATCTTCTGCGCGTGGAACATCAACCAAATTTCCGGGCAGAGTCGACTCTTGGTCGCAATCATGGCTCGTGGAGCGGGTCGTCTCGACCGAGCCGCAACACTTGCACTCGCAGTGGCGCTCCTTTTCATCGCCCCTTCGGGTATCTTTGGGCAGATCGCAGCTCAGAACAGGCTTCTGAAGTCAGACGCGATCGTTCCCATCAGGCAGGCTTCCATTTACAATCCCTACGTTGACTCAAACTTGCAAAACAAATATTGGGATTTTGGAGGTGAGTGCGCGCGCATGGAGCCGCGGAGAGCGAAGGTCATTAGCAGAGCTGTGAAGGATGGATCCCTCCGGGCACCATAGTCGCTGCTCTCGATCTGTTCTTGGGCCATCAAGCACCCGCTCACGGGATTCTCCACCTACAGGGGACGCCATCGTCGACACCAACAAGCACATCCGTCTGACACAGGACAGGCCTAGCCAAGCTGGCTGGCTGTGGACAAGAGCGGTGAGTGTCTGCTAGCTTGCAAGGTCGATGCTCCGCATCGGAAAAGAGGCGCTCTGAGCTCGGAGAGTCGATCGGTGAAATGCCACCAGATGTCGTGATGGGCAGGACTTGATGAGCCGCGACGATACAGGCTGGTCGCATCGGCATTATGCTCACAACGAGACTCACGCTCGCACAATATGCCTCTTGCTCCTTGTCAGCCTCTCACTGCAGACAACTTTGAGATTCAATTTGAGTTCAGCATCGATGGCAAGGCAGCGGGTCATAAGCCGTACGGCGACGGGTGAGTACGAAATTTCGGAGGCAGCACAGGAAGAGGTGGGACTTTGAAAGTGTCACCACCCTTTGCGAGGTCGCTTTTGTATCATCATGGAGCAAAGTCTGACGCATAGCGCTGGGGCTTTTGCGATGCAGCTTGGCGATGTGGCTCACCGAGGAGCGCGCACAGCCTGGTCCCGTCTTTGGCTCAAAAGATTACTTCACTGGTCTTGGCATCATCATCGACACGTTCGCAAACTCGAGGCATGTGAGTACCTCGTATCATGCAACGCGAAGGCAACGCACTTGAGCATCGCTTACAGTGAAGCACCCCGCCTGCCCACAGGCTTACAGCTTTCCGCGAGTGATGGGGGTGGTCGGAAACGGTATCGATTCGTACAATCACGCCAAGGATGGCGCGAACCTTGAAGTCGGTGGCTGCTCAGTCGACATCAGGCGGACGTCGGTGGCCACCAAAGCGCGCGTGACGTATGTCAAGGATGTCTTCTTCGAACTAGCGCTGCATTATCAAGAGTGGGATACGTGGGAGTCGTGCTTCAAGCTTCCCAACATCACCATCCCCTCCAGACCGTATTTGGGCTTCACCGCTGCAACTGGTGACGTGAGCGATAATCACGACTTGGTGAGCGTGTCGACCAGCAACATCATCTACAAAGTTAAATCTGCTGCGGAACTAGCTCAACACAGGCTGGAACACTTTCCACCTGCCGGCTCGCAAGCCGCCAAAGCCAAGAGCAAGAAGAAGTCTTCCGGGTGGTTTTCGAAGAGCGGATCCTCTTCGGGCTCCACGCCCCCATCCTCCAAAAGCAGCAGCTCTGGAGGTCCCGGGCTTTTTGCAAGCATCTTCGGGAGCTTGTTCACTGTTATTTGGGTGCTACTCAAGTGGGGTCTCATCTTCGGAACCATTGCCGCGGGCGGGTATGCGTTTATGCGATGGCGACGTCAGAAGGATGTAAGTCTGAGATGTCTTTTTTTGGCGCGATGGGGAGCAGCTCGGCTGACTACCAAAGTGTTTGACTACTTTTCTTCAGGCGAAGCGCTTCTGATGCGCAGTATTTGTGGACATTGGAGATCTTGCCGAATGTGACAAATCCATTGCAATGAGAACACTCTCAAAAGCAGGGACCTGCGCGATTTCTGATGCTTCGCGTGGGAATCTGCATGTCAGCTCAAGCTTCGGAATGTGGGAGGCGTGATCGATGCCTGCTCAAAACTTTTACAGCCAGCACACTATGAACCCACAAGTTCAACGAGCGAGTCTCATGGTAAATGTTTAGGGGTCTAGCATGGTCTTGGACCCGCTGTGCGGGATGCAGCGACCTAGGCGTATCGGCTGACTACGTGGTAAGCTGTTGGCTTGCAAGCTCGGCATTTGCCTGAATGGACGGGGTCGTGCTGGATCTCTTGTGTCAATCACAATCACGAACGAGCAACTTGTCACGGATTCGCCGAGGAATATATGATGGCTGAAACGGTGTCCATGTCGCGTTGCACAAGCACAGCCAAGTGCGGGCGTGCCAGGCCCAGGATCGGGAAACATGACCAAAAATGGCTCGTGCTCGCGACTCCTTGGGTGCTGCAGCAAGTGATCGGCACTGCATGCGCAAAGACGCAAAAGGGCAGCTGGATGGAATAAGCTCAACGGAAAGGTCGCTCGACGTGCAGCGATAGCAGCAGCACCCCTTGGCCTTCTCCCTCTTCCTTCTTGCATCTGGACTCTTGTGACGTCGACGAGCACGAGAAGCATGAGCTGTAAATCACAACCCCACTCCACTCTCAGACTCACAGATCGACGGAGCTGAACCCGTTGTGACGGCCCCTCTTGTCTCCGCTTTTTATCTACAAGGGTTCCCCCAGCTGCAGGCAGAGCTGCATCCACAATGTCTGACAATCGTGACGCTCATGCCCCTTTTGTGTGCTGGTAAAGCGTCGGTGAGAAATGCTCGGGCTGATGTGAGAACGAGGCATCTTGACCGCTGCAGGATCAAAGCTGAAGGCAGGCGGCCTCGGCCCGGAGAGTGGAAGTGAGTTGTCGTCTTCATGCTCGTGCCAGGCATTGATGGCTGTGTGCTCGGGACCGTTTACGGCTGCAGCATCGAGTGCCCCCAGAAAGACGCAACGGATGAAAATGTGGCTGCTCAAGGCTCATCCAAACTGAAGGTGCGCATAGCGGGATGGATGTAATTGTTGGCAATCGACATGCCACGAATTGCTTCTCACTTTCATAGACGTCTGCGGGGTCTGAGTGGCCGTCTCGGTCGATACTTTCCTCTCTCACCTGCTCATCTTCCTCGACCCAGCACATTCAGGCCTCTTTCACATGCTGACGACCAAGAACGCATGACGACACTCTGACCTCCGACGCCGACAAACACGACATGACTGCCACGCGCCCTCGACCGCTCAAACGTGGGATTCTCGTTCCCGTGCCCACTTTTTTCAGATCGGACGAGCAGCAATCTTTGGATCTCGACACTTTTCGAAAGCATGTGCGATGGGTAGCTCCGGCGGCAGTGATGGGCTTGGTCGTGCTGGGCAGCAGCGGAGAAGGGGTCTCGCTCACTTACCAAGAGGCCGAACAGGTAAGCTCGCGCGGGGCCTGCATGCTGCGGCACACTCTGCTGTGTCGCACAGGGTCAAGGCTGCACTTCCAGAAGGCTCACTGCTGAGCGTTTCGTGCCTTCCCCTTCAGGTGGTCAGGGCATGTCGGGACGAGCTGGACAAGGCGGGCCTCCTTCACACGCCCATCATTGCCGGAGCCTCTGGACAGTCGCTGGTCACGGCATTGAGCGCTATCGAGAGCGTGCACGGAGCAGGAGCAGATTATGCATTGGTCTTGCCATCATCGTACTACCATCAACACATTGGGGAGCAAGGTGCGCAAAACTACTACGAGCGACTAGCAGATCGAGCTGCTGTGAGTTGCAATGCAAGGGGAGCCGAATCGAGGAAAACCGGCTGCTGATCGTCGCGGTAATGATCGCTTTGTAGCTTCCGATCATGATCTATTCGTATCCTGGAGTCACGGCAGGCGTGGACTTGTCTGCCGAGCTCATCTCTGCTCTTGCAGAGCACCCAAACATACGTGGGATCAAGCATACCGATCACGACATCAGCAAGGTGAGTGCAAGGCAATTCGATCGGAGTTGTACCCTGATGCTAACACAAACGGACTTGCGCCTCGCAAGATCGGTCGAACTGCGGCCAGCTGCGCTCTAGACAAGCAAGGCAAGAGGTTCTTGGTTTATGCCGGCGCTTCAGATTACTTGATAGGCGCTTTGTCCGTAGGTGCGCACGGAGCTATCTCCGCCATGGCGAACGTGGCCCCGCGAACAGTCCTCGCATGCTTCGATTTGTGGAATGCTAGGCAAAGAGATAGAGCGTTGGAAGTTCAGCGCATCTTGTCCAGCGCGGAATGGGAGCTTACAAAAGGAGGCGTACCTATGCTGAAAGTGAGTGTGTGCGCTCCGACTCGTCCTGTCGATGCCTGTTCTAGGGGCTCACCGATTTGCTTCTTTGCGTGATGACAGGCCCTATTGGAAGTATACAAGGGCTACGGAGGCAGTCCACGTCTGCCTCTCGTGTCAACCGAATTGGAAGACAAGACAAGCGTACGTGCGACGTTCGAGCAGCTGATGGAGCTCGAACGCAAATGCGCAGAGCCTCAAGATGCTTCCCTGTCACGCATCCGGGCCTCATCAGATGACGACGAGGATTCGGAACCGGACGAGGAGCAGCTGGAGGAGAGCAGGAGGAGGCTGGGCGAGGCTACAAAGGAACTGGGCGCTGCTCGAGAAGCGCTTCGCAATGCTTATCGTTGATGACAGCGCCCATCGACTGATGCTGCGCTACTCCCGAGTCTGAGTAGCATTCGATCTAGCTCGAGCCGCTAGCAATGATTATCCCCCCAACACACCCCCAACCTCCCCTCCCGGCCCCGAGACCGCAAGTTTCGAAAGGTACCGTTTCGCAAGAAGCGCTGTGCTGACTATCCGCGAAGCGGATCTGGCAAAGCCGTCTTCAAAGGCTGTGACCCACGTCACACTTTGTCAGCTTCGAGGCATTTAGGTTATTCGCAGCCGTCCGAAAGGCGCTCCATCGCTCAGATGGGTACATTCGTATCTTGTACCTCCTCTCGGGCGGCCCGCTACGTAGTGATGGTTGTCGGTGCGCTGCTCCGCTGGCAAAAAATCACAGGTCTTACACAGCGAGATGTACCCGTGGTGTGTCAATCCTCCATGAGCCAGACCTCAAGGCTCGAGTGCAAAGTCATGGATCGACAGTCAAAGTCAAAAGAGACCCAAGAGTCAAGTGTCATGATCGAGTCATGAAGAAGAGCGCCACGAGAGCAGGCACTCACGCTTTATGCAGGCATTCACGATTATTCTAATTCTAATTCAACACGTAGTTGAAGTCAAAGTCCCCGATTTCTGTCGTTCACGTGACACAGGAGTCCCTTTTGATTTTGTTCGACAAGTTCACGTGATCATCACAGCTCGCGGTTTTGGCGCAGCGTCAGGTCTGCGTCCGCTTCCGTCAATACCCCATGCTCGGCCACGGAAATTTGCCGGGAGCGGACCACGACCCCCACAACATGACTTAGCGTTGAAGCTTGGCTCGGAACACTGCGCACGCCAACGGTCCCCAATTGTTGGATTCCACGCGCATCCTTGCGCAAACCTTCATATCTCCCGCCTTTGTGCTCGTGCTCAGTGTAGAGACCGCTGTCATCAGTTATCGCACAAGTCATCTCACCGCTCTGCTGGATCTCACTTTATACGCTCTTGGAAGCACCTGACACCGGAGCCGCATTCTGACTGGAAGAAGAGCGGAGGAACCGGCGTGATCGCTCGGGTCGCAAAAGGAGCGCCAGGGGGGAAGCGCTTCGTCGGAAGAGCCGTGACCATACGTTCGAAGACCTTCGCAGCTCTGTGGACGACATGCTACCGACGTCATCTACCGGCAGAGCAGCAGCTCTGGCAGCTGCTGCACGCCCAAAGAGCCACGCAGGCCAGCCTGTTCCCGTGCGACAAAGGCTGGTAGCGTCTCTTCCATCTCGAGAGATGAGCAGGTTTTTGGCAGCTTGTCTTGCCTGGTACATGGCCTCTGCGTTGAGCAGCAACACTTCCAAGGTGAGCGCGACAACGAAGCTCGATTTGCTGAAACGTAAATCAGAAAGCGAGCTCATTACTGGGAGATGCTTGCCGACTAGGCTCTTTTATCAGCACCAAGGCGGAAATCGGAGGCGGCGGCTCTGCCACCCTTGTCTGCGCCATTTCCGTATCCAGTCTCCTTGACCTTGATACAATTCCTCTTTGTGCATATCTTTTGCGCCATGGCCGCCTCACGGACTTTGACATCCTTTATCGGACTTCGGACACCACTTGCCAAGCTGCAGCAACCCAGTTGGAATCGCATCAGGGAAATGGGCACGTTGAGCATCTTCAATGCTGTAGGACACGCGCTGTCCAGCTTGGCCATCTCTAGAGTGCCGGTCAGCACAGTCCATACTATCAAGGTTCGTGCAAATAGGGATGTCAGCGGCTGTGAGCGGACGGGCTGCGCAGCGAGCAGACCCTCAAAGTCAGGACCAGGGGATGCGTCAAGGCCCATTCCAACCACGTGCACTGTCGCTGACACTCTAATGCATTTTCCTTCGAACAGGCTTTGACGCCGCTTTTCACAGTTCTATCTTTTCGCCTGCTCTTTGCCGTTGTCTATCCGTTCAGAACCTACGCATCTCTCTGCCCTCTAACGCTCGGAGTGATGATGGCGTGCACTGGCATGGCTTTCAACGCCGATGACCTGCTCGGACTGATGGCCGCGCTGGCGAGCACGTTGGTCTTTGTCGCGAACAACATTCTTTCAAAGAAGGTGCTGACAAAGGGCGGTCATGGGCCAGGCGAGGGTGAGAAGACGGACAAGTATAGTGTGTTGTACTACAGCTCCGGTATCTCATGCGTTGTGAGTCTTGCAGAGCGCGTCAAAGTCAACACGCGCCCGGCAAGCTCATGCGAAGCTTGGACTTCGTTTCTAGATCATGCTGCCAATGGTCATGTACGCCGACCTGCCCAGCATGCTTGCAGCAGCTGTGACGCCAGATGACCCATTGCAGAAGGAGCGCCTACACGATCATCTTCTCGAAACGAGCACCGGAGTTCGTGGTATGCAGGCCACAGCGCTGGGAGTCATGTGGGGTTTGACGGTGAATGGCATCGTGCACTTTGCTCAAAATGTCATCGCATTCAGTGAGTCCATCCCGGAAGAAACACCGACATCTGCGTAGCTAATCGCGAACCTTGAATTGCAGGTGTCCTTGGCCTGGTCTCGCCAGTCACGTACAGCATTGCAGGTCTTTGCAAACGGATCTTCGTCATTGTCGTTGCGATCATCTGGTTCGGGCAGTCAGTGAGCACCTTGCAGTGGCTGGGCATCTTTCTGACCTTTCTGGGCTTGTGAGTGGCAGTGGACCCGTGGTTCGGTCCCTCAAGTCTGCGATGCTGACTAAACGTCACTGCTCTCGGCACAGGTATTTGTACAACGACGCGAAAACGCGTTCCAGCAACGCTGCAGGAGATGCAAAGATTCGAAGAGACGATCGGCAGACGCTGCCTGTCACGAGGGGAGATTTGCCTACGGAGCATATCGCTTTGCCACGCCTACATCACGCCGCTCCACTCAGCAATCTTGCGCTGGGCAACAATCCAGAATCTTCAGCCGGACCTTCACGACCCAGCCAAGGCCATGGAACAGCATTTGTGTCGTCAGGCCAGCACGCAAACGCCCGGCACGGGCCCTCGCATTCTGCAGGCTTCAAGGACTTTATCGGCGCTGCCAACGCGTTCGATCCGAGAGGGTCTATACCCACGCCGCCCCCTAGTGGACAGAACAGCGACGATGGGGCAGACGGCAACGCCGGCCGAAAACGAGATTAAGTTTGCAACTTCTTGCCATGGTCCGCCAGGAGATCATCGTCTAGAGCATAGAAATCGCAATGTATCTGCGCACTAGCCGCTCTGCTCAGACTCGACTCGCCTTTGTGACGACTCAATGTCTGCGGGTGTCTCCTTGTGACGGTGTCCTCGAGAATTTTCCTCGGTTGGTCTGGCCATCTGCAGCGCCTAAATCAATTGAGTCCACGATCGGCCAAAGGCTCACCACGCCTAGTCCATCCGAGGGTGCCACTTGCTTGAGCTCTATCGTGACTGCGGGTGCCGAAAGGCGTGCAGACCTTTGCTTGCAAGGCAATCATGTGAATCCAGATCCCCGTGGACTTGAGTCACGCGACAAGAGGCGGGGGACGCCGACCCCCAGGCAGGCAGCCCTAAGTGATGGTGAGTAATCAAGAATGTCTCAGAGCCATATGCGACGCGTCGCGGCTGCTGATGGCATGGCGTTGGAAGAAAGGGCTCATTGCGCCGCGAGGCTCCACGAAGAGAGACGGATGCATGCTCGACTTCCCACACCATGTCTCACGTATGCAGATCCGACCGCGTGGTCAGCAGAAGTTCATGCCGCGTAGCTCGTGATTCGAATCCACATCCGTCCCCTTGCTCAGCACGTCTTCGGATCCGCCTGCGGCTATGCGCCAAAGCAAGGAACACTCACAACCGAGCACCAACGAGCAGCATCGGCAGCACCGAGCTTAACTGCGCTTCGAGCGTGCTGTGACTCGCAATTGACAGTGCTAGGACAGGACCTTTCACGTAGGAACGCTGCGCGGTGTCGGCGCTTCGGAGCCCGCTATCCCCACGCAGCGAGCTGGCGCCAAGCTGTGGCTCGATGATGGCATGTTCAAAGAAGAATCGAAGAGATCGAGCACAGACGTCACAATAAGAGGAGCGAGGTGCGAGTCAATCGAGTCAAAGTCCAGAGGCCTCCATGACGACCGAAGCCAGGAGCGAGAACGTGACTACAGGATATGCCTACCGTCTCAAGGAATGTTCCAGAGGGGCGTGTCGCAAATGCGCGCCGCTAATCTTCGAGCTGCTCAGATGAGAATCAGCTCATCGACGTGTGCGTGCGGCATGACATGTCTTGGTCCAGATGACGTTCTCGACGTCTTCTGATCGTGCCTTTGTTTGGAGACACATCTCATCACTTCAAACTCGTGCTCGCAAGCTTTGCGAGTAGCTTCCACTCGAGCAGCGCTTCAGAAGAGGTAGCGTACCCGTGCAGAAGACGCTAGTGTTGTGTAACCGGTACCGGTAGGCCAGACGGACTGATCAGCAGACGAGCAAAGGTGGAGTCGCGGGTGTGATCTCCTCGTCTCTCTTTCTCTGTCGTTCTTGACACAAGAAAGTCCGCTTGCTGAACATCGCAGAGGCGCTACAAGGCAGTAGAATGTGACATTATTGACTTGCCTTGGTCAGCTTCGACCACATCCGCATCGGCGTCCTACTGGCAACAGCCAAAAGCATCCCGGTGCCTCGGTGCTTTTCGCGCCCCCCCCCCCCCCCCCCCCCCCCCCCCCCCCCCCCCCCCCCCCCCCCCCCCCCCCCGGGCAATGCCTTGTTGCAGCGGCTGACTCCCAAGATCGAACAGGAAAAGCCAGGAAGAACATCTTGACAGAAGGGAAGGTCATGCATACAGTGATTCGTTCCACCATCCGACTCTGCGTATCGCTGCGAAATTCCCAGCCGAGGGCTACACTTGGCAAGATGACAACAACACCGAGTCCGCTGATCTCGACTTTGAGTTGAAAGAGGAGAAAGAAATGAAATTGCATCGCGAATCAAGAATCGAATGGACATTCCCCGGACTGAACACGTGCGAGAAAAGTGCCCACAAAAGTGAGCTCGAGCTGCACAGGCCGGGAAGCGTAGCCCCTGACAAGAAGATCGGCACTGTGCTGATCGCATGCTTCAATTCACACAAGCGCATGCATGCAGATGTAGGCACACAGAGCGACAGACAGACGGTCGATTTCTAATGTCGCTAATGCACGCAGTCACGAGTTGGTCCGGCACGACAGAGTGCCGACAAGGGTGCAGCAGTCAAGAGTCTGATGAGCATTCGTGATTCATCCTTTCATCATCACCTCACTTCGCACAGCGAGCAGATGCGCCGAGATTTGTTGCGGAGAATCTCTCTGGTCTGGCGCACTCACGGACCTCCAGACCTTGAAGGGATTTTTAGTGTGTGCAAAGTTGCGGAGCACGCTTAGGTATTTTGGCGGACCGAGTAGTTCGCTGACTGCTAGGCGGAAATCGTGGCACGCTCTTCGGTTCCCATGCCTCACGCGCCACAGGCAGCTGATAGTGCGCGTGTAGCCTTCTGGCTTGTACTGTACTGTACAGCCAGCCCCTATCTTGTCGCCCCGCTCTCATGTTTCCGGCCGGCTACAGCGGCCCGAGGGTCCTAGCACGACGTCAAACGAATTCGAAGCGCGACTGTGTGTGACATGTCTACGTTGGCCGAGATTCGCAAGAGGCGGGAGTCGTCGATCGCAGTCTGGAGTCTGAGTCTCTCTCGCCTTTCATGACCTGTTCGGAGCCGTGCCCCGGGTGTCGAGCGTTCCAGAGCAGGGGTACAACTGATGCAAGTCGAACTTAAAACTTCGCGTCGGACGGGAGAAGGAAGAGAGATGAAGCGGATGCGCTGCGAGTGGCACCAGCTGTCTGGGCTACCAGGCGTGCGGTTTTTGGCTGTCCGTCGTGCAGAAACTTTTCTAGGCGAGACTGCGATGGTGACTATAGGTACTGTATGCGTACAGTACTAGCGCGTCCGCGGGGAGCGCGCGGACTGTGACTACTGCCTCTGAGGCTGCGCTCTGACTTTGCCTGCCTATTTAGGAAGGCCAAGTCGCGGCGATGGTCGAGGATAGGTCTCACGCGTGCAGGTTTCTGACCAGGTGAGTTTTGTCGCAAACGTTATCGAGTCGTGAGTATATGGACACATGGGAACAGAAATGCGGCCACAACAGGCCCTTCGTGCACCAGCCTAGGCAATCAAGGCGCTGCTGGCGGACGCTCGACCTCGACGCTCAGCACCCGTCAGCAAAGACCATCCCATCCGTCGACTGTTCTGGTCAGCCAAGTGAGGTCTGAGAACTGCAGCCCATCATCGACGACACTTTGTTCCGTTGTTCTACAGCATAAAGACTTGAAGAATCGCCGATGCAGCATCGCCTGACAGGACCAAGACACGTCATGCACAGCCGCTCCTTGCTGCAGCAGGCTGCAAATCAAAAACGAGCCCGTTGCGTTGCGCACAGCTCCCATGGTGGGAAAACTCGCCTCATGCGTGCAGCAGATGACCGGCGCTCAGCCAGGAGCGCGAGCTTCAGTACACTCGCAATTTGCCTTGGATTGTCCGCTCGGCTATATGTACACAGCCATCTGCGAGGCCTATCGGAGTTGATAGAACATGGGTGGGCAGATCGCGCTGCGAGCGTCTCGGTCTCTGTCGCTATAGGGTGCGGTGCGACCCCGCCGGTGAGAATGCACGCTCTCGTGGCGCTCAAGTCTGATCAGGGGCTACCTATGTTCGCGAGTTCAAGGATGCCCTCAACGACTACGAGCGGTGCATGTCGCGGGTCCTCTTGTGCAAGCCAGCAATTGGCGTGTGTAGGGTCGAAATGAGTTGGGGAGTGTGGCTCTTCTCGCAGTTCGCCGCACGGCTACCCATCCGGTAAATCTCTCATCGGTCGGCAGTGCCGACCAGTCGTCTGCTGCCTCTTTTCCATGCAACCGCACGCCTGAACTCCAGACACACGCATAAACCTCCGATCATCTGAGACACACTCGTGACTCTCGAATTTGCCAGAAGGCGTGTCATTTCGTCGTTTAGCTTTTCCGCGGCAGCTCGAGTGCACCGTAATCTTGGGCGTACCCGGGACAATCTGGATCCCGGCTGGGCACAGGATCAGTGAAGGACAGAAGAGAGTCCGTCGTCCGCAAAGCATCTTCAGGTGCTCCAGCAGCTCGGCTGTAGCAGCCCATGTCGCTCCATGTCTCACCTCGAGCTGCAAGCAAGAAGTCATCAAGCTGCGCTTTGTTGTCGCTACATACACTATCCTGTCTCAGATCACGTACCTACACGTCAATTTAGCTCTGCGACGTGTCCCGCCCATACGAGCAGCTTCCGCCACGGTTACACACCTAATATTCTTGTCATACCACATAGCGAACAGAGCCGTTGCGGCAGCAGCAGGGTCTCATCAACTTCGGAGCCGCGCTCCGGCCCAGCACACCGGCACATCGACACCCTTACCGCTGCGTCGGCCGGAGAACTAGCCATTCATTATAGAGAGGTATCGCACAAGTGTAGAACGTCAAAAGCAGAGCCAAGGCTAGGCTGAGCTGGAGTTGAAACTCTTTGAGCGCCTCACTCTGCCGTATGCCGAGCTTGATTGATTGGAAAAGTGCGGGACCGAGATTGCTCTTCGATGGTTGCTTGAGGCCAGCATGCTTGCTCTCTGCCTGCCTTTGGCTACCAGCACTTGCCATTCACACTTGCCGGTATTCAATCATGCAAGACTGCTCAGCTATTGACCAGGTCTCACTTGTCGCTTTCTCCGCGTGGCACCATTGCGCCCTCGCTGATGCCCGACAGGCACGCAAGCCTGCGGACACTCTCACCAGAGCAAGACAAAGGTGTTCGCCAAACGATCCTTTCTAAGGAGTAGGCTATCGCCGGCGCGCCGGCGATAGACATTGTTGCAATCCACAACTTCCTCCTGTGTGTGCGCGCACTTTGCTCCTGTGGACGACGATCAATCGATCATTGATCCTCCCTTCCTTCCATCACTTGGCAAGTCTCCCCAGAGGCATCGTCGTGCCCCCACACCTTCATTTATTACTCTCTAGCGCCGCCCGCCTGACAACATCGTCTCCGTGCCTGTGTGCTCTCTACGAGTCTCCCCACCTGCTAATCGTCTACTGAGGCGCCTGTCAGCACACCAGTACCTCATCACTTCTCGCCACATCGAGTTGCACTCAGCGCAGCCTGTCAGCTATCATCGCTCGCTAGCAGTCCGCTAGATCCAACCTTCCGAAATTACTTGCAACTATCAGCACGCTCCCTTAATCTCGAATCAGAGGCACCCTCTAACGGGAGGTCCCACCTGGCGAAACCCGCATCGCCTCCGAACCCGGGCATCTTTATGGCAGAATCCCCCCAATCCGCCCCTGCTGGCTAAGTCGCCTACCACAACATCAGTCTCGGGGCGCTGAGCAGGGAGATTGTCTGTCTGCTTTGTCGACACCTTGATACCGCGGCCTCGTCGTTCCTGGCAACCACGTCGCTCCTCGCTCAAAGGAGCACGCCGAGACGCTGCCGTAAATTGATCTCCATCTTCGCACGCCAAAGACGCCGGCGTAGCGATTGCTCGGACTCCATTTCTTCGTCTGGCACGACCACCAACGATAATTGACAAGACTGGGTAGCGTTGCTTGTGCCAAGCGAGTGGCATCCCATCTGCTGTGCGCCCCGTTGGAGGGCGGGCCCAAACAGCCGTCGGTGCGTTCATGTCAACGCCACCTGCCTCCAGGGAACGGCTGCCAACTTTGAGATCAGAACCTTCGGGATCGGGTCAAGGCACATCGATAACAGGCGCGGCCACGGGCCGCGAAACGTCCCCGACGAGGCGTCCAACACGTCCTCAAGCCTCTTCTACGCCTCAGCCAGGGCCCGTACAGCCAAATCTTCCAGGCGACCACCGCGGTTCGCAGTATGAACAGCGATTCGCAGCTGGCAGCTCCGCGTCTGGGGCCACGTACAGTGGCCGGTCCGCAGCGCTGCGAAGTCCAAGTTGGGCCAGCGACGTTTCCCCTAGACCCGACGCTGCGTTGCAGGATTGGTCGAACTCAGAACTTCGCAGGCCGACCATCGCTAGGCCACCGCCGCTACATGTTGCGTCACACAGCGTCGCGGAGCGAGCTTCCTTTCCACCTTTCTACCATCATGCAAGAGCGGTGAGACCAGACGAACCTCTGAGCCGCGAGCCTGTTGCAGGGCCCAGTCGATGGCCAGCGAGCGGTCCACACAGAGACCCACGGGCACGCTCTCCCGTCCGTGAGGTTGCCTACTCCGATGTCAGGTACGGTTCGCAGTCTTCTCGAGAGCCATTTAGGAATGCCGTGCGAAGCCCATCACAAGTGGGCCTTCCTTCTGAACGCGGCGCTGCATCAAGGAGTAGCCGGGATGGATACCAACCTCAGGCTAGCCGTGAAAGGTCAAGCCGAGATTACCTCGCACCGGCGCCGCCGCCGCCGCCGCCTCCCCAGGCTGGCGAGAGCCTGTCACGCTCATATGATGGACCCACTCGCCTACTGCCTGCACACCGGTCGATGAGGCTTTCAGGCTCGCCCGGCCTGGAGCGCGCGCAAGGTCGCTCGTACGATTCTTTCATGCCGCCGCCACCAAGCCCCTCATCTCGAGGATCGCCATTCCGTAAGTTATACAATTGGTCGCGCGCCCTTTGCAACCACCAATACCGATGCTTCCAACTTCTCTCCACGCCGCTGCTGTCATACTCGTGAATTCATGCACCGTCCATTGATCCACGCTGTCTCCTATCTTGCCAGGTCCAAATCAGCCTTCGTTTTTCCCACGCCCCCTACGTCCCACTGCGGCCTCGCAAGAGTCCGCTAGACCGCGAGAAGACGCTCGCGCAGCCGAGTCAGGTCTGTCGAGAGCCCAGCGCCGAAGCAGAAGTCCAGAGCCCGGGCCTTCAAGGAGCAGACGACGCACCTCGAGAGCTTCTGAGGCAACAAGTGGCGCTGTCGGTGACGTTTCTGGAAGCTCGGGCGGGGCAGAAGACTCTGGCAGTCGGTCCCTTGAGGCCACATCAGCCAGCGGCTCTACGACCGGGGCGCGTCGCCATCCTCCGATGCCACGACCACGCAATGATCAAATGTCGGAACGGTGAGTCTTGACCACAAAGCGTAGTTTTCTTCCGACCCATTTTGACCAGAGGCTTTATGCGCTGCACTTGGTAGGAGGCGACGCTACGCGTTGAGCGTCGTGCAACAACCGAGCACCGGCTGTGCGTTCGGGACCAATCTCTTATCACGAGTCAGCGTGTCGCCCCCTCTCATTCTCCGACTGCGTGTCAGTGAGCCGGACGGTGCGGAAGTCCTTCCGTGAGTAAAGCCAGACGTTGTCTCGAGAAGTGGCCAGCTAAGACCGCCGCTTTCGCCACTTTCCCTTGCGCAGCTTCGACGAGCTACCTTTCATGCTGTGCCAACTTCGCCTGGTCACCGCGACAGGGCAACCCGCAGACATGCTGTCTCCTGTGCCTAACCAGCCAGCTGCACCAGACGCAGAGGAATCGGGCGCTGCACCCTCTGAACCGCCTCGGAGACCAATCCCTAGAGCTCAACAGCCATCCATTCTCCAGGGCAGCGCAGACGGACCAGCAATGGAAGGCTCGACCCCGTCTCCACCTAGAGTGCCGACTTCGCATAGCAGCAGCCCGGCTCATGCACAGAGTGCAGCGGTGCCTGTGCGAATGCTCTACGGCAATATGGTGGCTTTTGGCGTTCGGATACCAGAGACTCAGGGCCAAAACACTCCTCATGGGATCTTTTTCGTCTTTCCAGACATCTCTATCCGATCACGCGGCCGCTTCCGACTTGTTGCTGACCTCAATCGAATGCCAAAGTGAGTGTGCGCCTCGGCGTCCTGATAGCACGATTCGAGCTCAGCGGTCGGCTAACCCCACGCCACGCCAGTACGTCGCCGGCTGCAGTTTCGAGCAGCGATCCGACGCCGCGCGGGCCCCTAGCAAGTGTGGAGACTCAATCGTTTGACGTCTTGCTGCGCACGCAATACGTAGCACCACGTGAGTTCCAGCTCACTTCCTGCAGAAGTCGAGCGCGCCAAGAGCTGACTGACGATGGCTCTCGCACCGCAAATCGCTCAAAAGGGGATACCCCGCTCACCGAGTTCTTCGCGAACCATGTGTCCTTGCCTGTGCAATGGCGAGCAGCGACGGATTGATTGCAGGCTGCAACAAGCTGGGAGTCTGCCAAGCTACACCCATACACTTTGCTTCAATTGCTGCGATGTGCCGTTTTTATACCTATCTTTAATCGTCATTGCCTCCCCCTCTTCTCCCCCCCCC